GTGGTGACAGTGATATGGGGGGGCCACAGCAGGTGTTGCCAGCCTGGGGTACCCCCCTCGCCCCCATGAGATACAGCCCAACCAGGGGGTTGTTGTGGGGCAGCCCTCCCTGGTGACCCCTGCAGGATACCCATCACCATCACACCAGGATGTCAGGGGACCACTAACACAATGCTCTTGTGGGAGCTGGATGGCCCCTGTGCTCCCCCAGACCCAACCTCAACCCCATCAGGGGGGCTCAGCACCGTGTGCCCCCACACCATGTACTCCATCACTGTGCACCCCAGCACCACACACTTAGCCCAAGTGCACCTCCCTGCCCACTGCCCCGGCATTCCACCCCACTCCAGAGGTTTCAGGGTCACCAGCAGCACCATGTCCCCCCCCAGGGTGCAGGCCCAGCCCAGCCAGATGCTGCAGCCCCGGGCACCCCCCAGGCCTGGCAGCAGCACGAGGGTCCACGGCGGGTGAAGAGGGCCTGGGTGATCCCCCCCATCAGCGTCTCAGAGAACCACAAGCGCATTCCCCACCTCCTGGTGCAGGTAGGTGAGAGCCCCCCACCCTCTCTTCCAGGTGTTGGGATGGGAGGCACCCTGGGCAGGGGGATTGCATGGGAGCAACCCCAGAGGGGAAAAGACCCCCAGCCTGGGACACCTAGCTATGATTTCCCTGGGGCAGATCAAGTCAGACAAGCAGCAGCCCGGGGGGGTGATCTACAGTATCAAGGGGCCAGGGGTGGACGAGGAGCCCCTGGGCATCTTCTCCATCGACAAGTTCAGCGGGAAGGTCTTCCTCAATGCCATGCTGGACCGGGAGGAGAACGACCGTTACCGGGTAAGGATGTTCCTGAGTGCCCATAGACCCTTCCGTGAGGTCCCCAGCTAGACCCTGACCACCCTGCTCTGTGCCCACAGCTGAGAGCCTTCGCACTGGACCTGGGTGGAGTGACACTGGAGGACCCCACTGACCTGGAGATCATCGTGGTGGACCAGAACGACAACCGGCCGCTCTTCCGGCAGGACGTGTTCACGGGGCACGTGGTGGAGGGGGCTGAGCCAGGTGGGTCCAGAGAGGGGGCTTGGGGGGGCATGAGCCAGTCCCCAAACTGGCATCCACCAGGCACTCCTGTGGTTGCAGGGACCTGTGTGATGATGGTGGATGCCACTGATGCCGATGACCCCGACACGGACAATGCGGCACTGCGGTATTCCATCCTGGAGCAGGGCGCTGCCGGCATGTTCAGCATCAATGCCACCACCGGGGAGATCTGCACTGCACGGCCTGGCCTCGACCGTGAGGTAATGGGATGGGGAGCACCCGTGGGGGCACTGGGACTGGGGGCAACCAGGGCCCCCCAGCTGGTGAAACCATGAGCAGATCCAGGTGTGGGGATATGGTGGGTGGGCAGCAGCTGTGGGACCTCTGTGCTCCTTGGGGGGCTGGAGGGGCTCAGCACTGGCCCCCTTCATTCCCTACAGACCATGGGGGTGTACAACCTGACGGTGCAGGCAGCTGACATGTCCGGGGATGGGCTCACCACCACTGCCATGGCCGTCATCTACCTGGAGGACATCAACGACAACCCTCCCGAGTTCACCAAGGAGGAGGTAGGAGCCGGGTGGGATATGGGAATCTGCCAGGGTCAGCAAGGAGGGAGCCATTTCCTCAAGGGGCTGCAGCATCCCAAAGGGACAGACCCCAGCCCCACGCTGCTGTCTCCCAGTTCTCCATGGAGGTGGAGGAGCAGGCAGCCAGTGTGGACGTGGGGAAGGTGTTTGTGCACGACAAGGACCTGGTGGGCTCTCCCAGCTGGCTGGCCAAATACACCATCCTGGAGGGTGACCCCGAGGGTGCCTTCGCCATCCGCACCGACCCCCACACCAACGACGGCGTGCTCTCCGTGGTCAAGGTGGGCACAGGACAGCCGGGGGGCACTGGGGGTCTCTTGGCTCGGCTGACCCATAGCCCCTCTCACAGCCACTGGACCACGAGGTGCGGGACCGCTTTGAGCTGACGGTGTCGGTGCAGAATGAGCAGCCGCTGGAGCCCACGGCCCCCGCCAGCCCCCGGGCTCTGGCCACGGTGCGGGTGCGTGTGCGGGATGTCAATGAGGCGCCTGTCTTCCGTGAGAACCCACGGAGAATCAGCGTGTTGGAGGGGACCCCCCCGGGCACCCCCATCACCACCTACACTGCCAGCGACCCTGACACCCACCAGATCCAGACCCTCACGTGAGTCCCGCTCCCGTCCCGTGGCCTCCCACACCCACCGTCGGTGTTTCAGGGAGTGATGTCACACCCCCTCCCGCACCCACAGCTACGCGCTGCTCTACGACCCTGCGGACTGGCTGCAGCTGGATCCCCACACCGGCACTGTCCGCACCAAGAGGGAGCTGCTGCACCCCTCGGCCTTCCTGCAGGGCGGCTGGT